ATTCCTTAATGTCTACTGACAATCGGTCTGTACAAAGTATCGGTTTTTTACCGATTATCCCTCACCCTGTCACGCAAGCAGCCACAGTATATACTGCAATGTGCAATTTTAAAGAAATTTTAAGTCAGCTGAAACAAAAATTCTTACTGATTGGTTGTGATGAAGGAGTTTATGAAATAGCTCGTCATATAAAATTAGTGCATCATGAAGAAATGAAAAATCTAGTTCTCATGATGGGAAGTTTTCATATGACGAAAGTTGTTTTAGCAAGTATTGGGAAATTTTTAAAAAGCCGTAGCGTAGAAAATATTTTCATAGAAACAGGTTTATTTGGAGTTAATGTCACTGATCAAGTTCTCAATGCAACGCATTATTCTCGATCTGTTAAAGGATTTTTTATTTTAGCGGAAGCTTTAACTCGTTTACAGTTACAAGCTTTTTTCACACAAGAAAAATTAAAATTGTATGATAAAGAATTGACCGATTTTCAGGCAATGAAAGAAGCAATCGTAGAAGGAGATTTGTGTGTTGCAAAAGAGCTGTATCACATTATCATTCCGTCCTGTACTAATTTGAAAGAAGATTTTCAGCAATTTATCCAAAAAAGATGTGAAGAATCATTACTGTTCAAATTTTGGAATTCAGCTTTGATTATGATCGATCTTGTCCGGGATTTTATTAGAGCTGATCGACTAAGTGATTGGGGATTATACATTAAAACTTTAAAAAAGTTACAGCCTTTATTTCATGTCATGGATCGAGTGAACTATGCAAAATGGGGTAGTATATATTTAGAAGATATGATAAATATGCAATCTGATCAGCCTGAATTATATGAAGAATTAAAAAAGGGTAATTTTACGGTTAAATAATCGATCATTCCATTTACATCGATCGGTATTGACCAAGGATTGGAGCAAACAATAAATAAACCTCAAAAAGTGTGGAGTAATAGGTTCCACCAAGAAAAAAGAATTTGTTGTTGCCTGGAACATGACTTTTCATAAGACTTTGGGCATTGCGAATTATTTTAGAGAGATATCAGCCTTAAAAAGTGACGGTGATGAAATAGAAGTTCATCACGAACTAAACAATGCTGATACGAGTAATATTGATCATTATGTAGCAAATATCATTAATTACATTGAAAAGCATGTGGATCCTTTTAAATCTGGTAATCAACCGCTGCGAAATTTGATAACAGAAGAGTTGATTGAAGATGAGGTTGTTAGTTCACTATTAAAAGTGTTTGAGAAAGGTTGTACTCTTTATCAAAAGTTTCGAAGTGACAGATTGATACAAAAAACAATTCCATTTTCCGCAGTTCTTTATAAATGTAATTTACCTACTTGTAAACCCGCAAAAACAAAAGAAGTAGTAAAAGCCCCAAAAAATCTAAAAAAAGATGAAAGTCAAGCTCATCAATTAATCGATATCGCTAGAGAACAAAAGTATCCCTAGCGGATCCGTTTACACTTAGTATACACCAAGTTTACTCGGTGTATACGCGTCAACTTTACACCAAATTCACACCAAGTATACACCAAAAAATTTTTCTAAGTCCCGACCGTCAACTTTAACTTTAACTTAACTTTTAACTTAAAAAAAAAAATATTTTCAAAAAAAAAATTTCCATTTTGAGAAAAATTTTTTTTTAGTATTTCTCGACTTTTCAGGTAAAAATAAACTGATTCCCGAAAAAAAAAAAATTTTAATCGCCCACGGTTCCCGGGACCCACCTCGGATGACATAAGGGCGTATAATAGAATTTTTTTTTACGTTTTCGCTCATTTCTGGCAAAAATACTTTGATTTCCGAAAAGAATTTTTTTTCTACGCCCTTATGGCATCTATAATACGATATAATTGTATATTAAAAATCTTTCTAAATTTCGAAATCGAAAATTTGCTTCAAGTCACGAACGTACCGACGAATTGACTTTATCGATAAAATTATGAATTTGATTCAAGAGAAAAACTCCGAAACCGAAAAATAAAATCTCAAAATTTCATTGTTTTGAATCAAAAATTCTTGAATCGAATAAAATGTACCGTAGCCATGAACAATTTTATAATACATGAATTTTTCTGCTTCATTAAAGTCCATGAAACTCTTCAGGATGATATTCTTGGTTCAAGACGTTTTCTCTTGAATCGAGTCAATTTTTTTGTTAGTGTTTAAACTGTTCAAAACAAAATTAAACAATTAGATTGAAGGGGGGGGGACATGTTGATAAAAAAAATATAAAATTATAACAGTAAAAGATTTCGATCTCGTTGGTCAAAATTTTATATAGATTCATAAAAATAAATACTATCGATGACTATGTTAACATGGTTGATCGTACGCCCCGTATAGTGAGTGTTTTATTTTTTCACTTCGGTATTTCGGGTGATGAGAGTGAAAGTTCACTTGAATCAACTCCCTATTTTTACTGTGCACGTATAAATTTTTATACTTAAACCGTTATAATGATTGATGTCGTTTTACAAGAAATAGCACACCACGACTGAAGAACTTTACTCAAAGAAAAAAAACGATAATAGCTTTTAAATGTTTTTTTTTTTTTTTATTTTATCATTATCGTTTCAATACTTTTCAGTTTTATAACTCACAATAGTAAAAATAAATTATCCAATTTTTTTTTCGTGTTTTTTAAATGTTTTCTCTTCCACGATCTTCCTCGAGACGTCTTCGTTTTTCTTCTCTTTTTTTTTCTCTATGTTTTGCAGATCTTTCTCCTTGTTTCTTTTTGAACTTTTCCGTTTTGTTCCTTTTAGCATTTTTTAAAAAATCTCTTACCCATTTGTTTATTTTTCTTTTAGGATTCTGCGGTCCTCTACAATCTCTGATTTTATGATTTTTTTGTAGTTCTAAACAAATATCTGTAAAAAAAAAAATTCAATTTTACAAATAGTTCCAACAACAGAAAATAAGACTTAATATTTTTCAATGTGAAGGAGTTATATCTGTTTCCTGATTTAAAAAAACAGACTTAGGTGACATGGATATGTAAATTTTATTTTTATAAAGATGGAATAAGTTTTGAGCTCCGAAAGATTCATTCTATCGTTTCCCGAAAATTCGGCTATTCACCAAAAATGAATAATATATTCTACTACGAAAATATTTTATTATTTTTAGCGAATTTCGGTTCTTAATTTAATAAACTTTCTGTTCGTAAATTCGAAATTTTTAAATTTGCTTTGCTCTTGAAACTATATGATATACTACTTTATGAGTTAGACATGCCTTTGCATGAATGCCAATTCGCAAAGATTATTTATTAGCTATAACAATAAATTATGTAGTCTATTTATAAAATACAATTAAATGTAAAAAAAAGATAACATTGAATTAGTTCACTTAACTAATTAATATAATTTTTGGAATCAAGAATGCTCGTGACAAGTCAAGCACTTCGTCTTATCTATTTATTATTGTAACGTGGTTAATTTAACATACTTTTAATTATGGTGAAATCTCTGCTAGGAACTTCAATAGCATCATGAGGGGAGTTACTTTGCTTTTTTAACACTAGACGTTTCACAATTTCTGGTGGCCAGTAACCATGCATGATGTGGTTCGCCCTTATGCTCATTTTTTCGGCGTCAGTGGCTAGCAGCAGATTTCAGCATCTAATACGCTGTCCACATATTTTTATCTGAAATTGGTAAAGAATTATTGAAATGATATTCTCTAACGAAAACACGAATGTAGAAAAAGTAATTCACAAAACGATTGAAAGAAAGTAATAATTATATATTGAAAAAAAAATTTTAATTATTAGTAATTATAGTAATTGAAATTACTTAATAGTAATTTTAATAATTAGGAAAAAAAAGATAACTAAAATTTCTGACTCATTGAAGAATGGGATTCAAAGTAGCTGATTCGAGGTCAATGTCTGTTATGAAAAAATAATTGAATTTCTTGAAAATTAAAAATGATTACTCCGATAACTTACGTATTAATTTTCGTTATTTAAATCTCCATTGTTATCATTCCTTGTCGAATTATTTTTATTGATGTTGACGTCGTTACTATTAATAGCTCTTAAGATTGAGCGGACCGTATACTTGCTTGCTGACATTAAATCAGATCGTAATGCTGATCGAGTTAAAGGTTGTCTATTTTCGTCCAAGATATCATCCAAAAGATCTTGATCATCATTTGAGAAATTTTGACCATTCGATGGTGTTGCTCACCTCTCGAATTTAGCAATGGAGTTCCTGATCCAGGCTGCGATAGATCGCTTGCTTTACGCGGTAACGAAGTTCTTGACCTGGAGCGCGATCGAGATTTTGATCCAGGCGGTGATCGAGTTTTTGACCTGGACCGGGATCGAGATTTTGATCCGTGCGGCGATCGAGTTCTTGACCTGGATCGCGATCGAGATTTTGATCCAGACGGCAATCAAGTTCTTGACCTGGAGCGCGATCGAGATTTTGATCCAGGCGGCAATCGATGTCTTCCCTCTCGCAGTAACGAAGTTCTTGATCTGGATCGCGATCGCGTTTTTGATCCAGGCGGTGATCGAGTTTTTGACCTGGACCGCGATCGAGATTTTGATCCGTGCGACGATCGAGTTCTTGACCTGGATCGCGATCGAGATTTTGATCCAGACGGCAATCGAGTTCTTGGCCTGAAGTGCGATCGAGATTTTGATCCAGGCGGCAATCGATGTCTTCCCTCTCGCAGTAACGAAGTTCTTGATCTGGATCGAGATCGCGTTTTTGATCCAGGCGGTGATCGAGTTTTTGACCTGGACCGCGATCGAGATTTTGATCCGTGTGGCGATCGAGTTCTTGGCCTGGATCGCGATCCAGAGTTTGATCCAGATAGCGATCGAGTTTTTGACCTGGACCGCGATCGAGATATTGATCCGTGCGGCGATCGAGTTCTTGACCTGGATCGCGATCGAGATTTTAATCCAGACAGCAATTGAGTTCTTGATCTAGGCGGTAAAGAAGTTCTTGACCTGGACCGCGATCGAGTTCCTAATTCAGACTGCGATCGAGTCCTTGATCTGGACCGCGATCGGGATTTAGATCCAGACTGCGATCGAATCCTTGATCTGAAATGAGATGGGTGTTTTGACTGACGCTGAGATGGACATTTTAATTCACGTCGTGGTGAAGTCGTTGAGTTTTGTTGAGATTCCAATTTTAAATCACCTCGCGGTAGAGTCTTTGACCCGTGTCGAGATTGAGCTTTCGAACTTCTATGTGATAGATCTGTCGCTATGGACCTGGATGAAGATATCGATGTTCGCTGAGATCGAGGCTTTGCATGTGAACAATGAGAATTTCTCAATGTGGACTGAGATTGTAATGGCGAGTCCAAATCTGCCTCAGATGCCGAAGTTTTATTCAAAAGTTCCTATAACACAATAGCTTTATAATTTAATAACATTATTTTTCTACCTACATTTATTTATTATATTTATCCGCCACCATCTAACTGTTAGAAGTATAACAGTGAAACGGAGTAAGTTCTCTTTAGCCTTTAATTCGAATTCATGAATGAAACTATTGATTTAGATTAATAATTAGTATTTTTTTATTTATGAGGGATTCAAAAAAAGATTTAGATTAAGTAGAAAATATAAAAAAGTTATTGTCAAACATTCAAGTTCATGAAAATCAACAATATTTTTTGAAAACTTGTTCACGTTTTTGATTACTCAACAGGTGCTTATAGTTACGAAATCCATTATTGATTTTTGATTTTAATAGTTAGTTTATCGGATAAAATTGAAAACTTACATCAAGTTCGTCTCGATATTGAGCATCGCTGCTATCATTAACCCTTTTAACGGAGTTAACGATATTTTTCTGTGGAAATAATCATTTATCAAAAAGGTAAAAATCATTAAACATGTTATTATTTAATTTTAATGAAATCAAGTTGGAAATTCGATTGAACTTTGCTACAGAAACTAAAAAGTATATGACATTGATAACGACATTGTTATTTTAAGTAGACTTTTTATAGCAATCTGATTTACAACCATAACTTTTAGAAATGTAGAATATCAGCGCAATACATATACAAAATTATTTAACTTATTTATCTTAATGAAATTTTCAAAAATTAACAAGAATCTGGAAGTTTTTTTTTCTTAATTTATTGATGGAAATCAAATAATGGAGACTAAATTTAGTTCAGTGAAAATTACAAGTCCAAGTTTATTATTTTATTCCAAGTTTCAGAGTGCTAATTAACATTTTTTTACAATACCAGCAAACATACAGTTTCTGAAAGCGAAGAGTAATATCAGAAATAATTTTATAATAATTTCACGGTTATTATTATAATAATAATAATAACCCTGAATGAAAAAAAGTATTGAGACAAAGAATAAAAGTATTGGATTGACTAGAAAACCGATACTTTTTAAAGCTTTTTTATTTGTCTCAATACTTTTTTAATCAGGGAAATTAAAAATAAAATTGGAAGATAAGTTATTGAAAATAATAATTTGGTCAATTAAGTCCATAACAATTTTTTTTTCAACTATATACATGGATTCAAATGATCAATATAAAATTTTACGAAGTTTTTGCTTTAAATTAGAATTTAATCTTGATGAACTTGTTTGTAATGAATCATTTCTGTTCAATAAAAATAATTTAGTAAAAATTTCGATAAATTTCTTGCTAATTTCAGAATGTTTGTATATATAAATAAATAATAATTTGAAAAATTAAAATTGCTTACAAAAATATATGGTAAGCAATTTCTTAAATTGTGCAACGATTCAATAATTTGAAGTGCATAATTTGATAGTATTGTATTAAAAGAAATAATTTGATTTGGTCTTAATAATTAAATACTAATTTTTAAACAGTCAAAAATTAATCAAGTAATTACTGAAGAGAAGCAATTATTGTTTGACATAAATTCTCTCATATTGCACGGTAATGAACATTTTTTGCTAACGATCGTTTGTATCTTTGATTTTTTATAAATTCTAGCTAATGCTTTTTCTTGCTCATGTACAAGACTGCAGTCTCTGAATGAAATTTCTATGTAGATATGCACCATCAAATTTCTATGTATCAACTTTCATAAATTTTCGTCAACTTAGAGATCTTCAAAAAAACTTACTATTAGTACCAATTTAATATTAATGAAACAAATTTTGTATAAAATTCATTGTATTTTAAAAGTTGATTAAATATTTTTGATAGATTTTAGTATTTGATGCATGTTCAAAAAATTTCTGTCAAAGTCGTGCCAAAAGATATTCGTCAATTGTGATATATTTAAAGAACATCATGACTAGGGACTTAACTTTTAAAATAAGGAAAAATAAGGAATATTATTTTATGACTGAAAATAAGGAATATTATTTTATATCTGATTAAAAGAAAAAAATTGCAACACTTACTTTTTCAGAAATTGCTGATTGCTTTTCTTTACCAAGTTGTTCCTTGATTTTTGCTTTTTTTGATTTATTTTCCTTTGGACTGTGAGTTTTTTTAGCTTTAATAATGATTCTTTTTCTGGTGACTATGCTTAATAATTCTTTTTCTGTTTCTGAAAAAAAAACATGAGTTTATTAAGTAATCTATAATTGCAAAATTCTAAAATAGTATTATAATCTTTATACCAGCAAACTTCGAAATTTTTATCTGGACAAATTTTCCGTTTTCTTCAACATACAATTTTCTATTGGAAGCCGGACTCTCACGAATTGGATGATATTTTTTATCCTTGAGGAAGCAAATTTTTTTCGTTCGGCACACAGAATAATTTTCTAAAGCATCGATACGGGAAATTAATGCATATGGCTGAACCTGCATGACCTATTAAAAATGAATTTAATTTATAAATATTCACTAATTAGTCATAAAATGATCACTCTAGTATATAACCTATGTTATTATTTCATTTTTTAAATTCGAAAAAAAAATAAACAAACAAAATAAGTTGCAAGTATGATAGTAATCAGAATAAATCAAACTTATAAATTTTATCGAACTTACTTTCGTCTCCATTGTCAAAAATTGTTTTAAATTTATAACTTCATTATTAGCTAAAACAATAAGTTAATATCTTTCTTCATATTACGAGGGAATTTTAGCCATTAAATTACAAGATACTATAGTGCCATGTCGACGTAACTTAACGTTGTGTAGTCATGGATCATGGAAAAAGACAGCTAGCGACACTTACTTACTGCCGCGTTATTTAAAATGTCTATTTTTTAATTTTATTAGTTATTATTATTATTATTATTATTATTATTATTATTATTATTATTATTATTAACACTTTGATTTTTGCAATTTTTTTTTTAGTAATTTTTCATTTTTACACAGATGCTAAAACGTGTAATTATGAATTTTGCAACTTTTATTCTTTTTTCATTTCTATTGGAATTTTTGGAATCTGAATACGCAATCTAGTGGTAAACAATAAAACCACTTTAACTATTGGAATTTGGAATTTATGCATATAGCCTCGCTGATGTTGGAGTAAACATATATAGTCGAGACTCCATTCATAACTCCTAAATATTGCAAAGTATTTACGCCAACAATCAATTTTGAAATACACACGTGCTTCGTAAGATCGTGAGTGATTTGCTAAATTTAAATTGTTATTCGATCAAAAAATTCAGAATTTTTGAAATATATTCATCTTATTTCTATTATTATCAGGTGAGTTTAAATGTGTTTATATCTTGACTGTAGTTTAATGTTGACACTTGAGTTGAATTTAAATGATTATAAAATATTATTTATTAAGCTTGCTAACCTAAAAATTACAACTTTTTAATTTAATATCTCGATAAAAAATTTTTAGTTTTTTTTTTTTTATTAAAATTCTGTGTTTTTAGAAATTTTAAATCTCTATGGAAATACAAAATTACGACTGACATTTTTTATTTAATTTGATAATTTACTTACAATTTATTTGATAATAAAGTGCTTTAGTATTTAAAAAATGTTACTTATATCTGATGAAAATCATTTAGACTCAGAATTTTTTTTTTATGCAGGAAATCTTACGTTTGTATGAGATGAGTGAAAACAACGAGTGGAAAAGAATTTCATGGGCCATTCATAAACGTAACAAAAACAAAATGATGCGATATCGTCAACTATGCTCAAATGACGAAGAATTTCTTTCGTTCAAAGATGGATTTTTGGAACAGGTAAAAATAAAATTATTTTATCAATTAAAAAGTGATATAGATTAAGTATCCCTGAACAGAATGTTTTTTGTAATATTTTTACAAATATCACTTTTATCATACTGTTATGTTAAATTTATAGACTACGAGAATTTTATCAAATTCTTTTAGTAACAAGCAAATATATTTTATAAATTTTAAGTTTTCAATTTTAGAAATTTATAAATTTCAAATGTATGTAAATATGAATGGATTATTGAAAGTTTGAAAAATTAGTTTCATGAAATTATATTTTTTCATTTTACAAATTTTTGTGTATTCTGTAAATCATATTTTATTTTTTTTAATCTAAAATAAGGTTTTTATTAAAAAGGTTAAAAAGTTTTTGTCGACATTGAAAATTTCCAGTCTTCATAGTAAGATGATTTCTAAGCAAATATTCAAAATAATCTAAAACTCATTCTATAACGAAATTGTAGAATTAGGTGTAATAAAATCATAATTGTATGAGGAATTATATTTCAGGTACCTCCATCGCAACAACAAATCAATCAACGAGATCTACCCGAGACGTCAAGCTGGTAAGTTCAGTTCAGTGTTTATGGTCTAACATACGGACAAGTCGCAATAGAAAATAAAGACAATTTGACTCAATTTAGAAATATAATGCTAAAATTCAAATATTTTCAATTTATTGCATTGATGAAAAATTTGATTCGTTACCAAAATGCAACGATTGATATTTAATGATCATTGAAATAGTCATTTATTCGCCCTGATTAAAAAAAATATTAAGAACAATAGAAACGGAATTGAGAAGTATTCGATTTATCGTAAAAGTAATTATTTTCAATTCCGCTTCCATTGTTCTCAATACTCTTTTTAAACAAGGAGCGACTAATTATAATGGTTATGGTAAAAATCAGATGATGAATAGATGATCTTAAAAATGGTTGATTTTCATGAAACCTAAATTGATAATTATTAATAATAGAAAAGAAACATTGTTAATGATGATTGTACTTGTAAAGCTAAAAATTTTGGATTTGTTAAGTTGTTGTAGTTGAACGAGACAATCAAAAATCACCACTTGAGAAAAAAAATATTTTCTTATAAAACAACAATTTCTAAAAGTCAAAACGATGGTTTTTCACACAAAAGTAGTTTCGACAAGCTGTAACGTTGCACCGATAGAGTTTTTTCAATTTCATAAAAAGATATTTTTGGAAAATCCATTTATGAATAATTCGCTAATAATTAAATTGAATGTCGAGTCAATTGAAATGAAAAAAAAATGCTAATTAAAATACATAGCTATACATTACGATCGATTAAGTAAAATTCATTTTCTTAATGTACTGTTAAGCTCTGAATACGTGTGATTTTTAATTTTTCGAAGTTACTTGAACATTTTTATTAATTTTCTTCTCAATATTTATTTTTGAGCGATTGAATCTCATGAAGATTTCCTAATTTTTATGTGATAAGTGTAGAAGCAATAATTCTATTTGCCTATTGTAAGTGAGGCAGCATAACGTTAGTATTCAATGAAATAATCGTTAGGTCGGATATGATTACTGTATAATAAGTTATTGATATTTTGATTCTAGTAATACGAACGTGAACTTTCAAGTGGACGGTCAAGCAGATCATGACGCTCTGAACAGAAATGATGGCTGTGAAGGTTATGCCACTGATAGTTCCGAAGAATTCCGAACTGCAGAAGAAATTGAACATTGTAATTATTATAATCCAGAAAGATTTGATGACTATGAGTATGAAAATTGTGGACACTCAATTATGAAAGTAATATTCAAAATGAAATTGTGGAAGATCATTCATCGGCAGGTTCTGTGCAGTCCAATAACAGTGTCGACGATAATGATGGTGATAATGATACTGATAGCGAGAGTGACAGTGATAGTGACGAAGAAGTGGATGATAATATAGTACAATCATTTTTTCATGCTCAACCGATAGAATTGAATTTTCCCTTTACTTCCAATTCAAACTTTCATCAAAGAGATCATTTACTTGCAGTTGTTGCTATGTCTATTCGCTATAATTTTTCATACGAAGCTACTCTTAATGTATTGAAATGGATTAAATTAACTCATAATGATAATTCTTTGCCAACAACAAAAAAAGCGTTGTGGAAGACGTTGAACAAAAACAATTCTGTTGTAATTCGTCATATGTATTGTCAAGATTGCAAAGATTATCTAGGAAAAGGCAAAAAATTGAAGAAACAGTGCTCTTGCAAACAATGTGACCCAACGAAAAAGTCTCCAAAATTACAATATTTTTTACAAATTGATTTAATCAGTCAACTTTCGGAGTTTTTTAAGATTCCAAATATTGAAAAATCTTTGAATTATAGATATTCAAGAAAAAACAAAACTTTGATTCAGTCGAAGATGTATATGACGGAAGTGAATACGTTGAACTGTCGAAGCCCGGCAACTTTTTATCCAGTCCAAACAACTATTCATTTACTTTTAATACCGATGGATGTCAACCCACAAGCTCATCAAGCGTCAGTGGATGGCCTATTTATCTTCAACTTAATGAATTATCTCCTCATATGAGGAAGAAATATATTTTCTTAGCTGGAGTTTTTGTTGATACTAAGCACCCATTAATGAATAATTTCTTGCACCCATTTACAGACCAGATGAAAGAATTTTATGAAGAAGGTGTAAGTTGGAAACCTTCAGAAAATCGTCAAGTGACATCGAAATTTATAGTTACTACTTGTTCTGTGGACTCTCCTGCTCGAGCACTAGTAACTCGTATGAATCAATTTAATGGGTATTTTGGGTGCACATACTGTTACGCAAAAGGCGAAAGAAATGGCAGCAAAAATACTTATACTTTGAACCACTGCTTTCAACGCCTCCGACTGAGAGACGAAATGTTAGAAGACATGAAAACAGCATTTTTATCAAAAGTAACTACGAATGGTGTCAAAGGAATTCCTTCGTTAATATCATTACCAGAATTCGATATAAGTAAAGGAGTAGTAGTAGAGGCAATGCATGCAGTTTTTCTCGGGGCAGTTAAACAGCATGCAGACCTTCTTATGACGAGTGTAGCAGCAGAATTTTACATTGGAAAGCCAGATATTTTAGAAAGGATTAATCAACGTCTACTGTCTATAAAACCACCAACTCAACGATCACGAGCGCCAAGATCATTAGCAACGTATAAGCAGTGGAAAGCATCAGAGTGGCGCAACTGGCTTGACTATGTTCCAATATGCTCCAATATGTTTGGAAGGAATTATAAATATAAAGTATGTAAAACATTTGTCACTGTTATCGCAAGCTATTCATTATCTTAACAATGATTCCATAGCAAATAGTGAACTGGATATTGCTGAAGAATTAATAAAGAAATATGTGACGTTATTTGAAGAGTATTTAGGAGAAGAAAACATGAGTTATAATATTCATTTACTAACTCATCTCACAAATACTGTACGTTTGTGGGGTCCGTTTTGGGCACATGATGCATTTTCTTTTGAGGCCTGGAATAAGAAGATAGTAGATAAAATAACTAGCGCTTATGCGAGAGCTGATCAAGTTGTGACAAGATATTTAATGTCTACATTTCTGGAACTGACAATTTACAACCCTGCAGTGGCCGAAGAAACTAGAAAGTTTATCTGTGACACACTTAAACTTGTAGATCATCACACAATTGTTGATAAATTTATCAATATAGGGCGATTGCAACAACGTCAACAAGTAGCAAACGAGTGTGAATGTCTTCGAGAACTCGACATTCAACCTCCGGAAGAATTGCTTTCATTTTTTCAAGTAAAAGTCAACAAAATAAAATATAAGTGTGACGACAATGAGGATACAAAATTTTGCAATTCATATATATTTTCTAAAATGTACGGTTTTGGCAAAATTATTTCAATTGTTGAATTTACATCATTAAATGAAAACACTGTCAGAGGGTTTTTCATAAAATGTTTACAAAAGAAAAAAGAAATGTTTGATACGAATTATATTGTAAAGATTGAAGAAACTAAAACAATCAAATTCTTAAGTGCAGATGAAGATATAAAGCCAGCAATAATTGTTTCGACTGTTAATGGAATGTATGCATTCAAGCTTGCTAATTGTTGGGAAACGGATTAACAATGCATTTATTGTAATATACCAATGATAATATATGAGTAATAAAAAAATTCTATCATTTTGGCCTCGAAAATTTGCATTGCATCGTACTTATATTAATTCGAACCTACCGATCCTTTTAAACAATAAAAAAAATCATTAATGTAAAAAAAGGTGAAATGTAAATATCAGCATGAATGAGACAGTTTTAAGTTTAAATAATCCTTACAAATGAATGTGTTAAAAAATTTACTAATGATATTTCTTAACGTTTATTTTACTAATTTAGTTCAACTCGTAGCCACGATAAAATAAAAAAAATATACTCCCAGTTTTTGGTTTTTAAATTTAATTTTATAATTCTAGGGACTCGTCAACAGGAAAGAGCGCTTGTAATGGGGAGACTAGTTGTACATGAGGCCATATTTAATTCAATCAGCTTTGATTTTATAAATTTATTTGACAGGGATGCTTGGCAGTAAGTTCATAAAATTTTATTTGAGTTTTATTTATTTAATTATTTTCAATTATTTATTTTAAATTATTTATTTAATTATTTTTACAGAATTTTTAATGCGAGGTCTGGACTCAGTGGAACGAAATCTACGTTGGAGTGTTTCCAACATTTTTGCGATTTATTACACGAGTTCAAGGTTTTTATTATTTAAAAATGATAAATATATTGTTTATTTATTATTAAAAAATTATAATATATTTATAATTCAAATTATAAATATATTATTTATTTATTATTAAATAATTATAATATATTTATAATTCAAATTATAAATATATTATTTATTTATTATTAAAAATAATTATAATATATTTATAATTAAAATTATAAACATATTATTTATTTATTATTAAATAATAATATATTTATAATTCCAATTATAAATATATTATTTATTTATTATTAAATGATAATTTATTTATAATTCAAATTATAAATATATTATTTCTTTATTATTAAATAATTATAATATATTCATAATTCAAATTATAAATATATTATATATTTATTATTAGTATATATATTTAATCTGTTTGTCATCATGCTCTTGAGGATTTTGTAGCCAGCATCAAGTAACGATATTCCGCGGTAGTTAGCAGGTTCACTGGAGTCACCTGTCTTGTATACGGAGTAAGTTATGGCTGTATTTCAGCCAAACGGTAGTTTGCATCTTGTCCATATGCTGTTTATTGTTTGGAGTAGTTCGTTTTGTCTTGAGTCGGAAAGGTTTTGATAAATTCTGTAGTGATACCATCCTCACCTGCTGCTTTGCCATTTTTTAGCTCGATCATCGTGTCTCTTAACTCTTGTTTTGTTAATTCTTCGTCTAGTTCTTCATTCTGCACCGAGTTTTTAGGGTCTTTCTCTGTGTCTAGGTGATGCTCTTCTTCTTCTTATTCCGGATTAGTGCCGCTTAGAATCTTTTTATAGTGTTCGGTAAGTTGGTCTTCGCTGACGCTTTCACTGCAGGTACTCTTTTTACTGCCTCTGAAGAACTTGACTTTTTTTGTCACTTTATATCACCATTGTAACATATTTTTTGTACTGTTTAGCTCACTCCTTAGTTTGTCTCGCTATCTACTTTCCTCTTGCTTCAATGTTTCTCGATAGTTCTGACGTGATACTCTTAGTTTTTCTTTGCCTTCTTTACTTTTATTATTGAGATATTTTTTGAGGTTGCTCCAAACTGTCTTCTTGCCTTCTTCTTTGTTATACCATATCTCTGTTGATCGTTCTTTTTTATTTCCTTTTGTTGACATACCACTGCTTGTTGCTGCGTTCCAGATGACTGTTTTGAGATTCTCCCAGTTGACAGCTTCTGCATTGCAATCTATTTCTATCCAAGCCTCTTCAAGAAGTTCTTGGTATTGTTCTAATTTTTCAGGTTTCCACGTAAGACGTCGTTTACCTTTCACTGTTTGAGTTTACTCGACGTAGGGATATTCTTGTTCTGGCATCTGTGGTGTTTTCTTCTTTCCTCTGAGATGGTCAGATTCTGGTCTGGCCTCCACCTGTAGTTCTTTTATAGCCGTAAGAGCTTTGGGTCCTATGCGTAGAACCAAATCCAGGACTGATACGCAGTTTTCTTTGCAGCCTTGTACAAAGGTTATTCCTCCTGTCTTATCTCCTTCAGCGTAACCATTTGCAATGTAGATACCCATCTCTTCACACAATCTCAAAAGTTTTTGTCCTTTTGAGTTGATTGTTTTATCTTGTGACCGTCTTACATGCCCCGCCAAGTCTTTCGCAATCCTCGTATCCTGGTTTATCTCCAACTCTTACATTAATAACACCAATTATTGGAGTTATTTCTCTGTTTCTGTGCGCTTCAAAGATTTCATTCCTCAAGTTATTTGTTATCTTGCTAAAACCAACGTTATTGTATATGCTGATTAGGTTGTACTCATTATTAGAAATTATAAATATATAATTATTTATATTTCAATAAATATAAACAGTAAAATAATAATAATAATATAACATTTTTTATTTCATTGGTTTCAGTATCACAAAGGCGTTTCAAAAAGGGGAGAACCCCGAAAGAACTTTCCATGGTACCACGAGTTCAACGATTATTATTATCTACTCCAATTTAGAACGAGCAACTACGTCCGAAGATTTAAAGAATTTCCATTCTTGATGTAGAATCAAGGATTCAATCCAATCACTCGTCTTCTTTAATTTGCTTCTTTCAATTTTTCAATTTTATTTGTTCATTTAATGCTTTAAAATTAGTTAAAAAGAGTTCGAGAAGAAGTCCGTAGGACCCATCAAATTCAACGTATGGAACACAGCTGGTAAAGAAAATTTCTTAGGGCTCCGTAAAGGTTACTGCATCCAGGATCAGTGTGCTATTATTATTTTGTAGTTAGTTTGATCGTGAACCTTGAGGGACTTTTCTTATTGAACTAATTGAAATTAATTTATATGTTATTTAACTTTAAAACTATAACTTTTTTTTTTTACTGCAACAAACTTTCTAGTAAGGTAAAAGTCCCTATTATGAGACGATGTCCCCATTTATGATACACTACATAAAAATACTATTTTATAAAAAAAAACACACCGCTAGCATACCAAAAGTATAATAAATATATTATTTCATCTATTCCAAAAGCAATTTTCGACTTTGGTTGTTAATTGATTCCATACTGTTTTTTAAAAATATTTATTAAAGTGCGAGGTTTGTTATCTGTGCTCAAAGCCACGACCGAGAATAGTAAAACGACAACGGCTACCTAGTTTTTATATTAGTGTAATTTCATTGTGTCTTCTACTTTTATATTAAATTGTATATCAATTGAAAGCTGATGAGTAATAGACTTTATTTCTAGTAATACACATTTATGCGTTTTTTTTTATTACAATATTTTAAATATGAGTGTCTCACAATACCTACACTTATTTACGTGAATGCCCCGGTTTATGAGACACTTTTCTCGGTGTATCGTGTAATACGGACATATGTTTTTCGGCTTGTCCCGATTAAGTGAGACAGTGTACATTTATAAGATTTTATATTGCTAATATGTGATATTAATTATAAAAATAGTGTAATTATATGTTATAAAATATTGGCTACTATTAAACCTCAAATATTTTTCTAAAAGTAAGTATTTTAAATCAAATAGTTTTAGATCATGAACCTAACCTCAAATCATAACATAGAATAACTTTGTCAACAAGTTTTTCTGTTTTTTAATTAAATCTTTTGGATAAATTTATAATATTTTTTTGTATATTGATTCTGAAAATATATTATTTATTTCTTATTATTTCAGAGTAAGTAAAAAGTAAATTATAAAAAAAAAGCTGAGATAATGAAGCAAAAACAAAATTCCAAAGTGACAAAAACTCAATCATCAAATTCAACCAAAAAAAAAAAAAGTGTTGTGTTCCAATATGAATAATAAAATGAAGGAAAAAAAAATTAAAAGGATTAAGTAATTATAATTCGTGAAATATAAAAAAAGCTCTAAAAGCAATGGAAGACACAGAGTTGTCCTTGAGAAAAGCAGCTGCTGTTTATGGAGTACCGATTGTTACCCTTGCTAAATGAAAAAGTACTAGTCCTGAGAAGGCAAAAATTAGAACTGAGCCGGTGACAGTGTTATCTTTAAAAGAAGAGGATGTCATTGTTCAGTGGGTGTTGTACAGAGCAGTAATAGGGTCACATGTGACAAAAACTGAATTATTGAAGACGTATAACAATCCGTTACTGTCTTAGACAATCATTTTAATGTGATAAACTGTGAACAAAATAATTTAATTAATGATGAACAATTTTTTACGGTTACATATGAATCTAATCAAGTTAGTCTTCAAGAATCATCAATTGATAGCAATAACGTAATACAGTGCACTTCTAAAGACTTCAGTGAAGACAACCTAATTGATCAAACTATCTCTACTGATGATACAAATTTAGATATATCTGCAAAACCCAGAGAGATTATAACAGAGCTCACAAATATTAATTCTACAAATCTTATAAACAACAAAGTTCATCAATTAGGTATGTAAATGTCAACCTCACATTCATGTTCAATAAATTTAACTTAATGTGACTTTTTTTCAGAACTTATAAAAGAAAATTCAGATCCAGAAAAAACATGAAAGAAAAAAAATTTAACAATAAAAAAATATTACAAGAAGAAAAAAAAAATTAATGGCTCAAGTCAAGGAATGACAAAAAAAAATCAAGAAAGAACAATAGATTTAATTCAATAATTTGCGTTGATTAATTGTTTAACTGATAAAAAATTTTTTATAAGTTAATTAAAAATAAAAGTAATTCCTTCTTTTGTAAATACGATTGTCTAAAATTGATAAATATATAAAATTTGATCAACTTTGCTGATTTTTTAACTGTCTCAAAAATAGGGTCCTGTGGTTTGAGATACTGGGGACATGTGACTTTAAAGTGTCTCATAAATAGGGTCATGTAGGTTCCCCAAAAAAACCATAATTTAATTAATTTTTGACCAAAAAAACTATAAAAACAATATGAATATTGATTTAATGATCATCAAATTATCGTATAATTCGATTAAAAGTGTATTTTTTTCTTAAATGGATTAATTACTCGCAGGAATGTTCAACCTACCTTGAAAAGTGTCTCATAATAGGGACTTTTACCTTAAAGTGTAAAAGTGTATTTTTTTAATTCAAATTAATGAATCAAATGTTAAAAATTTTTTTTTTCTCTAATGATAATTCAATAGGACTGTTTTTAAATAAGCATTGTTGTTTATGAATGAATAACAACTGATTAATAATCACTTAAATAGTTTCTTAGAACATTGTATTAGAAAAAAATAAAAATTAAAAACTATTTTTTTTTCTTGATTAATCCTTTTATTTTAACAATTATATAATAGTTTCAGAAAAATATTTGTTTTTAACATTGCTCCTATAAGATAAAAGACCCAGTTATTGACACTGGTCTAATAATTTGACACTTGCAATTTTATTATAATTAAAAATATTAAATAGTCTCAAAAACTCAATTATCTCAGAATTTATATCAAAAATTATATTTATTAATTTATTAGTTAATTTTTTTTTTAATTAAAATAAAATTGCAAGTATCAATAACTAAGCCAGTGTCAATCACTGGATCATTTGCCTTAATTATTCTTATAAAAAATAGCATTAATTTTAAAATAAATATGTGTAAACTTATCGTTACATTTCAATTTTATTTTTTAAGTTTGAATTGTTTTGTATTTTTTTAATACAAATGTGGCGGCACGATTAGCTCGGTCACGCCACAGCGACGGGAGTTGCAACCAAACGTGCCTCGACGGCACCCACGGCCAGCAGAGAAACTACCTCAGCAACAGCAGCGCCAAGACCAGTGGTGATCAAAAAAAGGATTTACAAGCTCGCGCTACAGCGGTAGACACGTATAAGTCTAATTACCAAAACAATTATCTAAGTAATCTAAGTACACTTGTTAGATCTCGTTAAACTATTTAAATATTTAATAAATAATATCAACCTGCCAAAGTATACCTTTGTGTTATTTATTTATGTAGTGGTAGTGTAATAACCTCCCACAATTGGTGGGCCCGACGTGATAGTACAAAGGGTTATACACGGCATCCCGCCAAAAAAGAAACACGAGGTAAAAAAATACCGGCGTCATATCAACAACGACGCAATTATCAAGACATTGTGACAAATAATCGACAGAAAAATGGGTACCGATCGCACGCCTGTGAAAACAACACCCGATGACAACAACGTAATCGGTTATGACACCCTAGGTAATCCGATCTACAAAGATAAAGACTCGCTAGTATTTGACGGCGCGGTTTCTCGAGAAATTCTCAAGGACCTTTTATCAATGGATCCCTCGAACGACAACAACAACACCAAGACAGGCACAATACCTAAAATACAACAACAAGCTCAAGGTAATCAAAATACGTCACTTATTCTTGAATAATTACTGGCTGGACTTTCCCGCCAAAACCAACCAGCGGCCGTAAAACCAAAGTTGCCGCCATTCAACAAAACCAGACCGGATTTATGGTTCATCCTGGTCGACGCCGAGTTTACCACGACAAACACTGACGATGATACCACCAGGTACCTCACTGTCATACGAGCGCTGGATCCAGACATCATCGAACAACTCGCAGGCGTCGTTCGCCAGGAACCGACAACAGATAAGTACAAAACGCTTAAAAATTCAATTATCTCGCGTCTTACTGATTCCAGGCAAAAACAAGTACATAAATTATTGCGGGAAACCACCCTCGCGGGTCGAACCCCGTCTCAACTAATACGCATAATGCGCGAGCAAGCAGACGATGCAATCGATGACAGCATCTTGCAGCAACTATGGCTAGAACGACTACCTCCAGAAGTTAGACCGCATCTGATCACGACCAGCAAGCTCCCGCTGGACACCGTAGCGGCATTCGCTGACCGCTTCGTTGAGCTGATACCTAGTACGCAGGTTATGGCAACTGCGATACGTCCAGCAACACAGCAGAGCCAGAACAACCTCGAGCTGAAGATCACCGAATTACAAAAAACTCTGGCCACCTGTATGCAGGAAATCATCAACCTGAAAGTAAAACAGGAACAGACGCAACAACTGATAAATAATAAATTTATCAATCAACAACAATTGCAACAACAACAGTCGCAATTCCAGCAAGCAACTGGCAATCCTCAGAAGTATCAACAACGCCGCGGAAGATCTCCAACTCCAACACGCAATGGCATGTGCTTCTTTCACAATAAGTTCGGAACTGAGGCACGAAAATGCATCTTACCATGCACGTTGGCTTCAGACTTCCTTGCAAAGCAAAACCAGGAAAACTAGAACCGCTGTCAACACTAGGAGCAGTGAGTGACAGCGATCCTATGTGTCCAAAAGAGCTCCGTCTGCACATCATCGACAATATCACCCACCAGAAACTTCTAATTGATTCCGGGTCGGTGGTATCAATACTGCCAGCAAAAACCTTTCGCAAAAATCGAAAGGCAGAACAATTGACATTATACGCGGCAAATTCTTCACAAATAAATACGTATGGTACAACAACTATCAACCTGGAGCTCAACCTACGCCGAGATTTCTCTTGGTCATTCATCGTAGCTGATGTCGATACTGCAATCATCGGTCCCGATTTTCTCACGCATTACAACTTACTGATATTCCTGAAAAATCAACAGCTGATCGATCCATCGACGCAGCTAACATCAAAAGGTCATACCAGTACTACGCAATTTCATACCATCTCAACAATCAGCACAGATTTACCGCCTAAATATGGTGAACTGCTGAAACAATACGTCGTCATCACGAAGCCCATAAGCAAGCCTCGTATTACGTCGACGGAATTTGCTCACAGAATCATCACACGTGGTGCACCTGCAACAGCACGTGCACGCAAGCTCGGTGGGGAAAAAGCTGCCTCCGCAAAACAACAAATACGAGAACTTCTCGACTCTGGCATCTTGCGACCATCGAAAAGCAAGTACGCGAGTCCAATCCACATGACTCGTAAAAAGGATAACTCATGGAGGATGTGCGATGATTACCGAAAACTAAATGAGACCACTGAGCATGACAATTATCCACCACCACTAATACAGGATCTTTTTCCATGTTTAAAAAACAAGAAAAGATTTACCAAACTTGACATGGAAAAGGCCTACTTGCAGCTGCCAATCCATCCGGACGACATCGCTAAAACTGCCATAATCACACCGTGGGGCTTATATGAGTACCTAGGTATGCCTTATGGTCTCAGAAACGCCGGGCAAGCTTACCAGAGATATATGGACGACCTCTTCAGGGACCTCGACTACGTGTTCGTCTATATAGACGACATTTTGATCTTCTCGGACAACGACGAAGAACACTTCGAGCATGCCCGCACCGTCTTTGAACTTCTAAAAAAACACAACCTCATCATCAACCTCAAGAAATGTCTCTTTGACCAATCAGAAATAAATTTCCTAGGATTCACAATCAACGAGCACGGCTATGCGCCCACTCAAGAACGTGTTGACGCTATCCTGGGCTTCAATAAGCCAGAAACTGTTTGCGAACTTCGCAGGTTCCTAGGCATGATCAATTATTACCGACGAAACATCCCTCAAGCAGTGCAAATTATGCTACCTCTCAACGCCTACCTGAAAAAGTCCATAAAAAATGACAAAACAAAAATCGATTGGACACCAGTGGCCAACGAGGCATTCCACGCCTGCAAACGAGAATTAGCAAAAACCACGCTTCTCACATTTCCGTCGTCTACTGAACCACTGGCTCTTACCACCGACGCTTCATCCACAGCCATCGGAGCCAAACTTGAACAACTCGAAGGTGATACCTGGAAGCCGATAGGATTTTTCTCCAGGAAACTCTCAGAGACTGAGAAAAGATACAGTACTTACGACCGGGAACTACTAGGAATTTTCGCAGCTACAAAATTCTTCCGTCATCTCCTGGAATGTCGCAACTTCATCATAAAAACTAATCACAAGCCTTTAACATACGCATTTAAACAGAAATTGGACAAAGCATCTGAACGCCAACTACGACAACTTGATTACATCGCACAACTCTCAACAGACATAGTCTATGTGAAAGGCGAAGACAACATCGTTGCAGACGCTCTATCACGAGTCAACACCATCAACATGCCATCAGTACTTACACCTGCAACAATTCATCAAGAGCAAGAAGATGACGAAGAACTGGTGAACTTGCTCCAAAATCCAACGTCGTTAAAACTACAAAAATTATCAATTGAAAACTCCGATGTCTATTGCGAAATTTCAGCTGGAACTGTCAAGCCTTACATTCCTCAGACTCTCCGCAAAGCTGCATTCGACTTAGTGCACAATCCGTCACATCCTGGACGAAAAACCACGTCGAATAATCTACGAGCTAAGTACACATGGCCGGGAATACGGAAAGACGCAATTAAATGGTCCCGCGACTGCTTAGCATGTTAGCGAGCCAAAGTACACCGTCATACAAAAATCAAGCCAAACCATCTCGAAGCTCCAGATAACAGATTCAATCACATCCACCTAGACATAATCTTCTTACCAAAAGTTGGTGAATAACAATACTGTCTCACCATCATTGACCGCTTCACACGATGGCCAGTCGCCATTCCCATCAAGGATATGACAGCTGACACCGTCGTCACTGCACTCTTCGATCATTGGATTGCTCACTACGGTACTCCCACGCAAATTACTACTGATCAGGGAACCCAGTTTGAATCGGCCCTCTTCACAGCACTTGCACAACTCGTCGGCACTTGCACAACAACGAATGCACCGAACTTTAAAAGCCGCACTCATGTGCTCTCCAAAACCCTGGACAGAAATTTTATCGACAGCTTTACTTGGACTACGAACCAGCTTCAAAGAAGATATCCAGGCCACTCCTGCCGACCTTCTATACGGAACATGCCTGCGAGTACCTGGTGAATTCTTCACTTCCGCTGAAATGCCATCCGAGCCTCAAATTTTCGTGGAAAAACATCGCGAGTATATGCGTGGCCTTCACCCAACAACGACAGCCCACCACAACAAGGCTCGCATATTCATCTTAAGAAACCTGGACACATGTTCTCACGTCTTTGTCAGATGTGATAAAGTCAAAGCACCATTGGAAGCTCCGTACATCGGACCGTACAAAGTCCTCAACAGAATCTCTGATCGAGTGTACACGCTTGACATCGATGGCGAGGAAAAAAATATATCAATCGAGCGATTGAAGCCGGCATACATTGCAAAAAATGACGAGTCTCATCCAGTCACCGACGGAGCATCAACTCCCGCACCGACGCAATCGCAGTCGCAATCACAGTCGCAATCGCAGTCGCAACCGCAGCCGCAATCGCAGTCGCAATCACATCACTGGGGTTGAACCATGGACAGACCACAAAAGACTTACCAACGAAGAGTCACCTTCAAACTTCCCGCGGAAACTCACTCGGGGGGGAGTGGTTGTGGCGGCACGATTAGCTCGGTCACGCCACAGCGACGGGAGTTGCAACCAAACGTGCCTCGACGGCACCCACGGCCAGCAGAGAAACTACCTCAGCAACAGCAGCGCCAAGACCATTGGTGGTCAAAAAAAGGATTTACAAGCTCGCGCAACAGCGGTAGACGCGTATAAGTCTAATTACCAAAACAATTATCTAAGTAATCTAAGTACACTTGTTAGATCTCGTTAAACTATTTAAATATTTAATAAATAATATCAACCTGCCAAAGTATACCTTTGTTTTATTTATTTATGTAGTGGTAGTGTAATAACCTCCCACAAAAATATACATTATGGCGCCATCTATAGATTATTTTTATAATAAATATTTCATTTATATGTATCATCGGGCTGTGTCATTGCACATATGTATCATTGGGTATATGTGTGATCAAAATTTGAACAATTGGGATATGTATCATCGGGACTTGGGTAACCGACACATATGTATCATTGGGATATGCGTAAACGACACCTACCCTAAAATTTGCAGAAAACGTCATCATACCTTATTGCACATTCCTGAAGAACAAAAGAGATCAGAACAACAGCAAACGTCTTCAAACATACCTGCGCAACATACCTCGACCTACACCAACCCTCAGACCGAGAAAAGACAGGTAACATTTGTAGTCAATGCTATGTCTAATGACATAATGGTTACTTCTGTACTTGAAATTTTAGACAAGGACAAAAGACCTATACAGTGTTGAGGGCTTCTCGATACCTGTTCGACTACCAATTTCATTACTGGTCGCTTTAAACTCTATGACTACTTATTGTACCGAGCTTGCAACAGCTACCATTAAATCTCGATTAAACGACTATAAAAAGACACTGACCTTTTTAGTCGTACCAGAAATCTCGCATTTTATACCTGATCAACCGATCCAACGTGAATTGATAAAGATACCTGATAATATTGTATTAGCGGATCCAAACTTCCATAAACCTGCGCCTGTTGACTTACTTTTAGGAGCAGGCACCACTCTTTCGCTATTATTTGTCGGACAAATCAAATTGTCCTCCTCTAACCAACAGGAATTATACCTGCAAAAAACAATGTTTGGCTGGATAATAGGTGGAGCTGCCCCATCCACTCTACCGACCTCATCAAATTGTCATCTCACCACTACCAATTTAGATTTCGATCTTCAGAAGTTTTGGGAAATAGAGGAATGTCCCACCGTCAAGAGATTCACTGCAGAAGAAGGAAAATGTGAACAACATTTTCGTAAGCATGTAACCAGAGATTCCGATGGGCGATATGTCGTTGCCCTACCGTTCAACCCACATACTACCAAGCTAGGAAAATCATATCATCTGACTCGCAAGAGATTCGACAGTACTGAGCGTAGATTAAATCAAAAACCTGAGCTCAAGATACAATATGAAGAAGTTTTACAAGATTATTTAAAACAAAATCATATATCTTCGATAGTTGATAACCCTTTGACTTCAAATGGTTATTATTTACCTCACCATGCAGTTATCAAAGAAACCAGCCTTACTAAAAAGATACGAGTAGTATTTGATGGCTCATTAAAAACATCTTCAGGCGTATCACTCAATGATGTCTTGTACTCTGGTCCAACTATTCAACCTGATTTATTCACCATATTAATTAGGTTTCGTAAGCACCCAATAGTAATTACGGGTGACCTAAAACAAATGTACCGACAGTTCTTAGTCAGAAAACAAGACAGAAAATTCCAGCGTATCCTCTGGAGAAATGAAGCTAAAAAACTCCAAACATATGAGTTAAATACCGTCACCTTCGGTATTACCTGTGCTGCTTATTTAGCAATACGTTGCTTACACCAATTAAATTAAGTGAAGACGAGGGTGAATCATACCCGATCGTCGCACCATTGTTATTATCCGATTTTTATGTTGATGACTTTCTTAGTGGAACAAAGACTAAGGAAGAAGCAAAACTTGTGATTAAACAAATGATTGGGATTCTATCTACTGCCGGACTAACAATGAGGCAGTGGGCTTCTAATGAACATTCGGTTTTAGAGAATATACCTGCGGAAGATGTCAACCCTCGATTGCAGTTGGGAGACACTACATTGAAAACTTTAGGTATACATTGGGACTCTCGCACCGATACTATTACTTATACGGTAAATCCTATTCAATCAAACAAGATTACCAAAAGAATTATTTTATCCGAAGTAGCTAAAATATTTGACCCGTTAGGTTTGTTGGCTCCAGTTATTATATTAGCTAAAATTATTTTACAAAATTTGTGGAATTATAAACTCGACTGGGACGAGTCTCTACCTGCGAACCTTCACAATGACTGGCAAAAGTACTGCGAACAATTACCTTCTCTAAATATATTGTCATTCCCTCATACCGTAATTACTGCTGACCTTAAAGAAATTCAATTACACGGATTTTCCGATGCTAGTGAGAAGGCATATGGAGCGTGTGTCTACTTACGTACTCTTGACCATTTAGGCAACATTAAGGTGCAATTGTTATGTGCAAAATCTCGAGTTGCAGCGATCAAAACCTTAACTATACCAAGATTAGAGCTTTGTGGAGCTCAACTTTTATCAACATTGATAAAAACGGTTAAAACTGCCTTGAATGAAGAAGTCGAGATTTTTTATTGGACTGATTCAACTATTGTTTTACGTTGGCTTCAAATTTCTCCACAGCAACTAAAAACTTTTGTTGCTCATCGTGTGGCTGAAATACAGACCGTTACACAAGTAAAATCTTGGAGACATGTTCCTACAGAACATAATCCCGCTGATCTTGTCTTGCGAGGAGTTTTGCCTGCAGAGTTTCCCTCCGCTAACCTATAAAAGGATGGACCGTCGTGGTTAAGCCAACTGGAATCGTTTTGGCCGAGCCATGAATCACCGAAGATTGAAGAAGTACAATCGGAGCTACCTGAGCAGCGCCGACCCGTATGTTTAGTCAATGCAGCTAGGCCATTTACAACGCTAACAAGATTTCCAACTTTAGAACGTATGATACGTGGTTTGGCCTACTGTTTTCGATTTGTTAGAAAGGATTTTCCAGCAAAATTTCTTATCGTGAATGAATTGCGACATGTGGAAACTCGCGTGCTTCGATGTGTGCAATCTCAAGCATTTCCTGAAGATATAAAAAATTTGAGGTCTAAGGATAAGAAAAAATCAGTAAATTCAAATCTTCTCAAATTATCTCCTTTTCTCGATCAAGATGGAATAATGAGAGTGGGTGGACGTCTAACTTTGTCCAATTTACCGTTTGATGCCAAACATCCTATTATACTACCAAAAAACAATCATGTCACTGATCTGTTTATTATGTATTTTCACAAAAAACATTTGCATACAGGCGTTCAACAGACCCTGTACACCATTCGTCGTAAATATTGGGTCATTGATGGCCGAAGCCAGGTATATAAAAAGTTGAAGCAATGCTGTAATTGCTTTAAGGCTAGTCCGCCTCCTACCGAGTATGTTATGGGTAAATTACCAAAGGCTCGTGTTAACATTGCTAATCCTTTTAATCAAGTTGGTGTTGATTATTGTGGACCTTTCTTTTTGAAAGAAAAGAAATTTCGTAATCGAGGTTCTATGAAGGCATACGTCGCTGTATTCGTATGTCTTGCCGTAAAGGCTGTTCACCTAGAGTTAGTGACCGATCTCACTTCTGATGGTTTCTTGTCTGCCCTGAGACGATTTATTTCACATAGAGGTCTATGTCAAGATATCTATAGTGATAATGGGACAAACTTCGTTGGAGCTAACAACATTTTGAAGGAATTTATTGAAGATATAAAAACCACTGAAGCTCAAAATAAAATTCAAGGATACCTAAGTGACAAAGGTATTCAATGGCATTTTAGCCCACCTCATGCACCCCATGTTGGCGGCCTATGGAAGGCTGCTGTAAAAAGTTTTAAAAAATATTTAGGCCATGTAGCTGGCCATGATATGTTGTTCACCTACGAACAATTCAACACTTTAATTATTGAGATTGAAGCTATTTTAAATTCTAGACCGATGACCACTATCTCCTCTGATCCTACCGATCCTATACCCCTTACTCCTGGCTATTTTTTGATAGGTGACTCTTTGACCAACTTACGAGGTTACGATTATACCGCCACGCCTGATAATCGTTTATCTCATTGGCAACATTTACAGAAAGTGACACAACACTTCTGGAACCGATGGAGCAAGGAGTATTTAAATGAATTGACCGTTCGTACCAAATGGGAAAAGGCTGGCCCTGAAATAATAAATGGGTCAATTGTCTTATTAAGAGAAGACAACATACCACCAGCTCAATGGGCGCTAGGAAAAATTGTTAAGTGCTATCCAGGTAGTGATGGTGTAGTGCGTACCATGTTAGTGAAAACTGCTAAATCATCTTTTGTTAGAAATGTCAAAAAACTTGCAATATTACCTATATCTATCTTAAGCAGTGAATCAAAATTAGAGACAAAAAATTAGAGACAATAATTTTCTTGATCGTAGCCTCTCAAGGGGGGGAGAATGTTTTATAATGTTAATCCATTTTCGTCATTTTCATTTTTTATAACAATTTTTGTATTAGTATAAATTTTCAGTCTTGAATATTATGAGATTTATGATACCCTCATGTCTAGCATGCTTTTTGTTTAGTTTATCATTTTTTAGCTTACCATAACTTATGTATTTTGCTTTATTACCTTCTAAACTTAGTTTCGTACAATTGTAAATTCAAGCGGTAATGAGATTCGGCTTCGTTTTATTTACAACTTAATCCTCTGCTCTAAGGTCTTCTAATCTTTCTATTGTGAAATATTTTTTCCCAAAACACATCTGTTTTTAAGTGTTTTATTACTTGGGTTTTTTCCTCGATTTGGAGTATTAGTTATTTGTACATCTGTACATCATATTGGCATCAAGTTGTCTAAGTCCTTTCTCTCTCTAGTTATGAGCTTTCTCTCTAACTTACTCTCGATGTTTTCCTTTTTGCTCGAGTCCTTACCTGCACACTCACTTTTCCTAAATTACCAATCAAAGGTCTCGTATCTCTTTTACTCCACCCATTACCCCTAGAAGATCTTAGCAGTAAGAAAAATTTGGAACTTGTCACCAAGTTCAACTTCTGATTAGAAAATCAGTTCCTCTTAGCAGAGCACCGTAATAGCATCAAGCATTTTTTGTCCAAGACGTACCGTCTTATTACCGCTTGAATTACTTCATAATTTGTTAATTTGTCTCACATTTCATATTTTATAAGTAAATTTTAAATACATTCTTCTATAAATTCATACAAAATAAATTATTAGTAGAACGTTAATTTGGTCTACTAACTTTATCAATTAATGTAACCTGGAGCTTACAACTCCAAACTATCAATTTAAGTTATACATTTTTGAGAAAAATACAAGATTGATCGGGAATTCCAAGCAATGTATCCAAAAGTTGCTGATAATTTTATATCTTTATTTCCAACATCATACATGGAAAAAATTTTATATTATGTTGAAAAAAATCGGGCTGATTTATTTTCAAAATCATCTTTTATCAAAGATAGTAAGTAATTTTCCATTTAAAAATTGATATTAAATTAATGTCAATGTTGTTTGTTGTTATGAGGTTATTGTACATGTTTCCATGATATTTAAATATCTCTATCAAATTTATATTATTTGAAGTTTCCCAGGCTCAATTGAAATAATTGCTTCTATCGAATCTTCTAAACTTAAAAAATTATTTTTGTCTCAATTTTACTAACAATAAATGAAAATTTTCATAATATTTACTATTTAATTTTGAATGTTTTCGTTACGTAAAGAAATTTACAGGCATTATTAGTTCTGGTTGAACTACTGCCACTATCTAATGCTGCCATGTCGAAAATAAATAAAGCTGATCGTAAAAAAAAAGGCAGAACAGCAAAAAAAATTGACTCAAATGGAAAAGAGAATCAAAAAGGAAAAAAAAGAGTAAGCGTCAACAATTTTTTAATTTATGATGAAATTCATTTAATTTGAATTTATGAATAAATTTTATACTTCGATATTATGTTTATAATTAGAAATTGGATGAAATGGAAGATGATGAATCCCTTGTAAAAAAGAATGTTTTCCCTAATTAATTTTTATTAAGGATTGTGCCTGTAAGTAATTTGCTAATAGTAAAATTAAATCATTTTGGAAATAATATTTAATAACTTCTTTTTCTTTTTTAGGATGGAACAAGCATTAAAGATTTTGCGAGATCCGTAGCAACTAAAAAAAAGTCTAATGTACAACCGTATCTGATAACAGTCAGGTCAGTCGGTAGATAAGACATTTGTGCAAGGAGATGGATGGTTTATCAGTGTTCATCCCGAAAGTCAACCCATCACTACTTTTGATCTCTTATACAAAACGTACTATGTACTTAACGTAGAGTACCCGGAAACTTTGAAAAATTTTTATAATTTTATTGATTACTTCATCTTTCACATGAATGCCGAATCAATAAATATGGTATGTTCTTTGTATACGAGTCTTTCAAATTTTAATATTGATAGTCGTAAGAAAGGTACAGATGATGCTTTCGAAAATAATTCGGACTAAAATATATCGTTTTAAAAATTAATGATAATATATGAGAGTTCTACTGAGCTTAACTAAAAAATATTACATAATTAAAAAAAATATATAATGTTTAAACATACATATTAAATATATGTTACTTAAAATTTAGAATATATATAAATTTAGAATATCTGTTACTTAAAACGAGGAATATTATTTTATGTTTTTTATTTCGTTGCTATTAAATTGTTTTGTGAGTTGTACTGAAATTTTGCCTGAAAAATATTAGTTTAAAAAAATATATATAATGTACAAACATATATATACTAGCAGTTATCCACCCGCTTCGCTGGGCACTTAGAATTGTATTTAGAATTGAATAGAATTGTATTTTTAGATCTAGACTTAAAATTTAATTGGAGTCTTGTTTTGACTTGCACAGATTCCAAATTCCATCGGATTGATCTTTTATTCCTGTAATTATTCTAGCTAAAAATTATTGTAACTTTCAATGTGCAATCACTATATCATTCCCGTGGCTATTTTCCAAAAATGAATAATAATTGACATTAAGAAAAAAATATTTAAATCGATTGACCTTGAAGGCGATCCCTGTAATTTTTCGTTTCTCTTAAGATTCTATCAAGTTTTATATCTGTAGGAACTGTATTTGAAGAATATGAATTATTTGACTATTATCACTCCCGCAATCCCTTTTGGGGTTAGAATTCGAGACAATCCATTATCAGCTGAACTTCACATTATTCACGAAAATTTCTACTAAATTTAGAGACTGTAGAAGTTACAGTTTGGAAATTAAAATTTTGGATTTTAACACGCCTACTCCCGCAATCCCTGTAGGAAGTAGAATTTTTTGAAATCCGTCTTGAGATTCTCTCCTCGTAAGTAATAAAAGATTCCTACCAAATTTACAGCTTTTAGAAGCTATATTTTAGAGATTAAAATTTTTTATTGTTAACCCACCCCCGCGATCCTTATTAGGGATGGTTCGTCGTAAAATCCGTTCTTAGATGATTTCTGTGTCACATATAGAAAAGAGAAAACTCCTACCATATTTAGCGACAATAGGAGCTATAGCTTGGAAATTAAAAATTTTAATAGTTAACACCCACCCCCCGCCCAAACCCCTGTAAGGTGGGCTATCGTAATATTCGTTCGTATATCATTTCTACATCTCTCACGGAAAATTCTTACCCAATTTGGAGCCTATAGTTCAAAATTGGGAATTTTTCATTGTTAACGCCCCCACAATTCTTTTTGGGGTGGGATATCGTAAAATTTGTTCATGAATTATTTCTATATCACATATAGAAGATAGCTACGAAATTTGGAGCATGTAGGAGCTATAGCTTGTAAATTAAAAATTTTCATTGTTAACACCCACCCCTGCAATCCATATTGGAAGTAGCTTGTCATAAAATCGCTCTTAGATCATTCTTACATCATATATAGCAGATTCTCACCAAATTTGAAACCTATAGGAGCTACAGTTTGGAAATTTAAAATTTTCATTGTTAACACCCACCCCCGCAATCCATATTGGGAATAGGTTGTCATAAAATCCTCTCTTAGATCATTTCTACTTCACATATAGCAGATTCTTACCAAATTTAGAGCATATAAGAGCTATTCCTCAGAAATTTGAAATTTTAATTTTTAACACCCACCCCCGCAACCTTCTGTGGCGTGAACTATCGTAAAATTTGTTCATAAATTTTTTTTACATCACTTAAAGGAGATTCCTACCAGATTTGGAGTTGATAGAAGCTAAAGCTTGAAAATTAAAAATTTTCATTGTTAATACACGCCCCCGCAACTCCCTGAGGGGTGGAATATCGTAAAATTCGTTCATAAACTATTTTTACATCACTTATAGAAAATTCCTACCGAATTTGGAGTCTGTAAGAGCTATATTTTGAAAATTATAAAATTTCCATTGTTAATACCTACCCCCGCAACCTCCTGTCGAGGTGAGATATCGTAAAATTCGTTCATAGATTATGTCTACATCTCTTACAGAATATTCCTACTAAATTTGGAGTCGATAGGAGCTATAGTTTAAAAACGGAAATTTTTCATTGTTAACACCCCCGCAAATGCTTTTGGGGTCGGAATTTCTCAAAATCCGTTCTTAGCTGACCTCTACATGGCAAAAGTAATATTCCTACCAAATTTCAAGTTTCTAGGTCCGATGGTTTCCGAGATATCGTGATGAGTCAATCTATCTATAGAACAGCTCCTATGTATATATAGATTTAGGGTCTATAGGAGCTATAGCTCGGATATTAAAAATCTAAATTGTTAACATCCACCCCCGCAATCCATATTATAAGTAGGTTGTCATAAAATCCGCTCTTATATCATTTCTACATCACATACAAAAGATTCTTACCAAATTCAAAACCTGTAGAAGCTATAGCTTGGAAATTAAAAATCTTAATTGTTAACACCCACCCCCGCAATCCATATTGGGAATAGGTTGTCATAAAATCCTCTCTTAGATCATTTCTACTTCACATATAGCAGATTCTTACCAAATTTAGAGCATATAAGAGCTATACCTCAGAAATTTGAAATTTTCATTTTTAACACCCACCCCCGCAACCTCCTGTGGCGTGAGCTATCGTAAAATTTGTTCATAAATTTTTTTTACATCACTTAAAGGAGATTCCTACCAGATTTGGAGTAAATTTGAACTCAATGGGAGCTATAGCTCGAAAATAAAAAATTTTCATTGTTAATAGCCACCCCCGCAATCCCTTATGGGGGTGAGATATCGTAAAATTCGTTCATAGAATATTTCTACATCTCTTACAAAAGATTCCTACCAAATTTGGAGTCGATAGGAGCTATAGTTTAAAAACGGGAATTTTTCATTGTTAACGCCCCCGCAAACCCCTTTGGGGAAGGAATTTCTTAAAATCCGTTCTTAGCTGACCTCTACATAGTGAAAGTAATATCCCTGCCAAATTTCAAGTCTCTATATAGGTCTTATAGTTCCAGAGATATCGTGATGAGTCAATCTATACATAGAACAGCTCCTATATATATATATATATATATATAGATTTTTTAAAATTCTATGAGCATTATAATTTTCTATTTTCTATTAAGTTATTAATATAATATGTATGTGTGTTTTACAGAAACTTTAACTTAAAAAAATATTAGTTAAAAAAATATATATATAATGTACAAACATATATATATTACTTAAAATTTTATGAGCAATACAATTTTATGTTTTTATTTCTTTACTATAATATTTATTTGTGAGTTCTACTAAAAGCTTGCCTGAAAAATATTAGTTAAAAAAAATATATATAATGTACAAACATATATATATTTTTTAAAATTCTATGAGCATTATAATTTTATATTTTCTATTAAGTTATTAATATAATATTTATGTGTGTTTTACAGAAACTAACTAAAAAAATATTAGTTAAAAAAAATATATATAACGTACAAACATATATATATATTATTTAAAATTTTATGAGCAATACAATTTTATGTTTTTATTTCTTTACTATAATACTTATTTGTAAGTTCTACTGAAAGTTTGACTGTAAACTATTAGTTTAAAAAAATATATTTAATGTACAAGCATATATATATTCTTTAAAATTTAATGAGCAATATTATTTTATATGTTTTATTAAATTATTAATATAATATTTATGTATGTTTTATAGAAACTTTAACTGAAAAAATATTAGTTAAAAAAAATATATGATGTATAAAAACATATATATATTACTTAAAATTTTATGAGCAATACAATTTTATGTTTTTATTTCTTTACTATAATACTTATTTGTAAGTTCTACTGAAAGTTTGACTGTAAACTATTAGTTTAAAAAAATATATTTAATGTACAAGCATATATATATTCTTTAAAATTTAATGAGCAATATTATTTTATATGTTTTATTAACTTATTAATATAATATTTATGTGTGTTTTA